AGAAAAATCTTCTCAGCAGTGATGTTGTCTGTGTGTTCACAAAGAGATGTGGTCAGTGGCTTTCTCCTGCAATACATACTGGTGCAATATGACTGATGGAGTACCTGCTGGTTAGATGCTGTATTATTCTTTGCTTGCTATGGAGCTGTTGTAGTCCCCACTCTCACCCCTGTAACCATTGACTTTGGAAAGGTTTCAACTTATGTTTAATGACTGGTCAAAATATTCCCATAACAAGTATCTCTGTGAAGGAAAATAATATTTTTCAAAGAGCACTGTGGCTTTAGAGAAGACAATAACTCCAAGATTAAAAATGAAGTCTTATGAGAATAAAATAATCTTTCTTATCTGGCTTTGTATCGATCGGGAAGTCTCAATGGCCAAACTTCTCATTTGAATAACCAAGTGAGGTCTCTCTTGCATGGTTTTATACACTTGATCTGTGCTGTGACTTATAATCTGGAACATAAGAAAGTTTCTTTGTTTATGTTTATAAAAATCAGCAATTTGTGGTTCCCCATGCTGATGTGTTAGCACTTAGGCTGTAGGTTATAGCATTCAAGGCCTTGTCCAACACTGACAGCTTACACTGCTCTCCTCAGCAACGCTGGGCACCTTCGGCTCTGCTTCGGAGCATCACAGCCCATGCGCTCTTCCTGGGCTTGTTTTGTTAGATCCTGTTTCATCTGGGTTTGTCAAGCCCTTGCCCTTCCTCAGTGGATGGCTGGCAATGGTGTGGCTGCGAAGGATAAGCTGTCCTTCCCCAGCATGTCTCCATCCCATCCCTTTGCATCATCTCCTTTCCCATTCAGAGCAGCTCCCAGTGGTGGCAGGATCAGCATGAGGCGTCAGAAGTGACCGATGGGTGCCGGCCCTAGTGCTCATGCTCCGTGAGTGCGGTGAAGCCATGGCCTCCCCCCAGGCCTCGGTGTCTCCACGTGTTGGAGGCAATGACAGCACTGTGACTCTTGGGCCCCCTCTGACATCTGGCCATGTCAGGACCAGCCCAGAGGGAGAATTGGAGTAGGCTTGTGCATGAGAGTGTGGCAAGCAGGGAGCCAGGTGGGGACAGGCAGGCTCGGCTGGACTGTGCCGGCTGGGAAGGAGGCCTACACAGCTGCTGCCCCTGTTGGGTCACCAGGAACATGCACCATTTCATCAGGTGGGGATAGGAAGAAGGGAGTTCCAGCCTTGCCTCCTCATGACATTCGCACCTGTGTGTAAACACCTCTGACGTCCCTGGAATGCTGTCCTCCTTCTCTCTGCTCCTCAGTCCTTCCTTGGCTCATGTTCGTGGTCTTCCAGACACCTTAGCTGGTCTTTTCCCCCATGTTCTCTACTGCTCTGCCAGTCCGTTCCCTTCAAGGATGCAAACCCCAGTGCTCCCTTGGCAGATGAGGTCTCTTCAGTTCTCCCTGTTTTTTCTATGTGCCCCTCACAGGCCCAGTGGATTGTGTGAGTGCTGCCACTTTGCGTGACGTCCAGTATGTCCTCCTGGCTGCAGCTGGGCATCACACAGACAGAGACAGAGGATGACCTTGGTAGGTTTTGGAAAGGCGCCCGAGGCCTGCTGTGACGTTGCTCATGCCTCTGTGGGAGCCTGCAGCAGCACGTGTTGACACTGAACTCGACCACAGGAAGATCAGGAAATGCAAGAATGCCTGTTGTTGAGGGAAGCTGGACTTGGCCTTTGCAAAAATTCACTGAGTTGTGCAACCGAGGCCTGTGAAAGAAGCATTTCCTGCTGCAGCAACATTGCCCATTGCCCTCCCTATGCATCACCTTGTGTGGGTCATTTCGGGTTTATTTTTTTCTGATGAAAGCCCCAGTTGCACCTTCTGCAAGCAGTTTCTGGCTAATTCACTCGAAGGAAAACTTTGTCCTTGGTGGAAACACCCTGCCAAGTGGGAGGGACACACTCCCTCCTGAGGATCTGCTTCCTTCAGCAATCTAGCTGTGCTGGCAGTGCAAGGCCAAAAAAAATAAGCACAACCCTCCCCTCAACTTTCAGCAACTGCAGAATAACATGGGGACCACACTTGTCTTTCTCAGCATTCAATGAAGAGGGAGCGTGTTCCCCCCACTCCTCCAGCTTCGCCATTCCTTGCCACTCCTCAAGGTAAAGAGGCAAAATTTAACCCTGAATCTTCTTTGCTGAGATCCTCTTTTCCTACTTCACTCCTGTGCCTCTGAGTTCTTCTTGGGGGAAAAAAGATCACATTCCTTCCCAGCACATGCATGTACCACACTGGAGTCACTTTTGACACTGGCGATGGCCACACACAAAATGTGCCCTTTGCTGACCGGTACAACTTAAAAGCACCATGTGCCAGCTGGGGCTTATCTTTCACTGGCGTGTCTTGGGGCCGGGTGAAAGCTTCATTCTTCAGCAGCTTTCTAAAAAGATCAGGTTTCTGGAGGTGACGATGCAGGCAGCAGTGGGGGGACAGTGGAAGAACAGCTCTGCAAGAGCTGGGGTGAACATGTTCCCGGCTGTGTTTGAATTGGAGCCTTGCCACAGAAACCAAAGGAAAAAGCGTAAGATTTTGGAGGTGGCTAACCTTGGCGACAGCCTGCTGCTGGGCTGGTGCCTTGTGCTCTGGCAGAGGAACACGTGAGGTGGAAAGACCTATCTGTCCCTCTGTGACCATGGTGTCAGCCTTGCCCCTCACACCTGCTGGGGCCATGGGCAGTGCTGGGCCTGCAGCCATGTGAGCAGGGAGCAGGTGGCATTGGCAGGAAAACTCTTCAGGGATGCCAAGGACTCAGCAGGTCCTGGCCCCCCCAACAGTGGTATTTTTCCACCTCTTGATCCTGGCATGTCGGCAAGTGCTGGGACACAGGGAGGCACCTGCTGTTGGCGGTGCCTGTGCCACGTGTTATTCAATCCCAATAATCCCAAGTCTCTGGGAGGCTCTGGGGTAGTGAGAGATGCTCTCCTGTTGGACCAAACTTGGGCTGTTTTGCTAGGCCTGTATTTTAAATACGGTCCAGGGAATGGCCTTTCATGCTTGCATAAGGCTTTCCTCTGCGACCCAGCCCCCTCCGTCTCCTTGAACAGCCTGATTCAAGTCAGAAACTACTGCTGTCACAGACTGAGAAGCCCAAGGCTCAAGCATGGCATTTTCTACCCAAGCTGTCTCCTCCTTTCAGGTAGGAGCCTGCCTGCTCGATGACTCAAGTTGCAAGTTTCCCTCTTAATAACGGAGTCCCCTGTGACGAGTGTCTAAACAACACCCCCACACCCCTCGCTTTGGAGGTTTCAGGAGACAAGTCCCATCTTGTTGCCATGCCCCAGGAGCACGCTACCGGGGGATCAACTCATTCACTGTCCAAACACCTGGCAAACACTCCCACACCCAGGCACTACCCTGCACTGGCCCAATGTGGAGCTTCAGCACCTCTTTCTCCTCTCTGAAGGCTGATGGAAGGCAGAGCCTGTCCCTGCACATGGCTTCCAGGCAGGGGTTTCAGCTCTCCCTGCCCTTCAGGCTCCCTGACACAGCACAGTGGCAAATACCTCGGGAGGAACAAGGCTATACTAAACCTCTTCCCTAATCCCTGCCTAGGCTGTGCAGCTATCAGCTGTAAACTAACTCCAGGCCCTACCTGTGCCCAAAAAGGGAAAGGCTCCATGCCTCCCTGCGTCACAGCCAAGCAAATGCAGGGCAAGGATCAGGAAGGCACATAGTCGCCTTCAATTTTCCATTTCCAAAAACATGTCTAAGGGTAAGCGCTTGTGTGTGCTTTAGATAAATGATTACAAGGGGTTTGAGACACAAAGGGGAAAAAATAGTTTTGTTGCTTAGTGGAGTGTGACAGTCACATGGCCCACAGCAGGCACAAGCAGCAGCCCAGCTCCCGGGGCTCGCAAAGCCAAGGGCACAGTGAGCTCTTCCAGGAAGAAATTTAGGCTAGAAGGGCTGAGGGGGAATGGGTAAGAACGCTACTGGGAGTCAGCTCTAGCTCCATGTTTGATTTCCTCAAGGACATTCAGAGCAGCTCCCCTCAACAGCTTTTTAAGGAGGGAGTGTGAGGAGCTGCAAGCCACCCCTTGAGCAGGAGGCAGCAGGAGTGTGGTGGAGCTGGGGAAACTGGGTCACGCAGCCATTGGCATACGAGGGGCATGACAGGTATTTCAGCACCTTCCTCAGCAGAGGGGCCATCTCATCTTTTGCTAAAAAGGAGCTGCTCCCTCCAACATAAATTCTGATTAAAGCTGAGCAGTGAGAGGTTAGAAAGAGAAAATCAGATCTTCATCATTGCTGCATGTTCTCATATCCAGCCTTAAGCCCCGCCCCCCCGCTATGGGAAGTCACCTTGGATGAACATCCACAGCAGGGAGGACAGGGCCTGAATGTGCACCTTGATATTTCCTTAGCTTAGCAAGTACCCTAGATGTCCCAGAGTAAACTCGAAGTGGTTTGCACAGAGGGGAAAGGAACCCAAAACCAGCACCCCTCTCTGCACGAAGCAGTGCCTAGGGAAGCTTGATCTCCCCTGTGCAATGACTCCAGAGGGCTCCCAAGCCTGGCCCCACAGGTGATGGCCCTGGTGAGATGCCACAGAATTAGGGTATTTTAGGAACTCTGCTGATTGACTGAAGGCCTCCAAAGCACCATGCACCAAATGCATCCCCCTCCCTCCTCTACCCCCCCGGGAGAAGAGCCAGCTCCCCCCGCCCCGCCCCAGGGAGCTGAATCATGGCAGGACCAGGGATGGCCAGGCACATCGCCACTTTTTCCTATATGCTGCTATTCTTGGCTGCGGGAGAGGTCACTGAGACAGCTGCCCTGGCCATGTTGCTCAAGCCTGGGCATCACTGAGCTGTTCCTAACGCTACAAAACCTCTGCCGAGCACACCCCAAACCAGCGACCTTGCCTGCACAGGCCAACACCGAGCAGCAGTTCATCCAAAGGCGGCCACATCCCTCCTCACCCAAAACCAGACACAGCACAGGTATTCTCTTCCCACTGAGCACACACCACACAACAACCAGTTATTATATCATGCTTTTAATACAAACTTAAAAAAATCTGGAACAATAGAAACTGTACAGATTTGATCAACCTTTTTGTGGGTTTTTTTTGTTTGTTTTTAACTAAATCTCTAGACACACCAATGTCCCGTTCCAAAATATTGCACAACATTCTGAATACAAAACTCTGATTGTATTCCTCCTTCGCTAAAGAAAAAAAAAAAAAGAAGAAAAAAAAAGAAAGACAGCAACCCCATGGCTCCCCCTCTCAGTAGCCCCCTTCTCCAAAAGAAACCCAAGCAGAGCACACACAGAAACCCTCCACTTGGAGACATACAGACTTCTGTCCTCTTTCACTCCTCTCCCACAAGGCAACTGACGATTCACTCCTTGGAGAGGGGTGGGAGGAAAAGGAGGGAGGCTGAGTGGGGAGAAAGGACTCTTCACCACTTCTTTTTTTTTTTAAAGTTTTTTTCCTGAAAAAATATTTTTTTCTCTCCTCTTTTTAAGAAAAAATCTTGAAAAGAAAAAAATTACAGTTTTTTTACGTTAGAAATATACATATATTATATATACCTCTTACATTTTACAAATGTAGCAAATTATTCAATACAAACGGACATCAACAAAAAGAACACAAACCCATAAAAAATAAAAGTTAAAAAAAAAATCTTCTCTCTTCTCTCCCTAAGAAACCAGGTAAATTAGTGCAGGTTTTTAAAAAATAAAATTGAAGCTTAACGCCTACATCCAAGACTAGAAAAGACCTGAAAAGGCCGTTAGTTTCCATTGCTGCCTGACGCTGGAGGAACATTTCTGAAGCACGCTTTTTTCCTTTTAAGATACAAAGAGGTTGGTCCCTCCTCTTTTCCTCCTTCCACTCACACCACTATTTTTAAAGCAGGTATTATACGTGTGGCAGGGCAAAGCGGCATCAAAGCTTCACACACATAAGCAGGTGGCCAGGGAGTGTCCCCACCTCTTTTCTCCCTCCTTGTGCTGGAGGACAGCATGCTGTACCACGGCAGCAGCTCACAGGAGGCTTTGCCAGATGTGGGGACAGTGGGGGGCAACTGGACCAGGTCCTGCCATCAGGGGCTGAGCACCCCTCAGAGTCCAGTGCAGCGAGCAGGGTGCACCCAGCAGTACTGTGCCAGGGAGAAGGACTGGGTGGCAGTGGTAACATCTGTAAGTGAAGGGTTCAAAAAAGAAAACGGAAACCCAACAGCTGGGCCATTCCTCAGCACCTTGTCCTCGTCTGGAAACCTGCAGGGTTGAGGCTGCGGGCACTGGCTCTGGGGAAGCTGGTTGGTCTTCGCTCTCCTTGCCCACCTGCTGTGTTGGTCACAGCTCAATGGCAAGCAGCTTGTTTGGGAATCCATGCTGGGCACAAGGTCAGGACCGTGCGCCCCATCACCCATTGAAGGGAAGGGTGCGCTGGAAAATCTCCTTGAAGAGCTCTGGGCAGTGGCAGTCTCGCTGGGACAGCCCGTTACCTTCTGCAAAGGCTCATTGTCAACACAACTACAAAAAGGCTGGAGTGCCTCCATCTCAGCTCAAGGGAAGAGAGCGGGAAAAGCATGAGGTCAAGCTCATCTCACCTGAAACAGGGATTTCATGAAAGAGCACATTGGTTCCACAAGTGCAAGAGGAGTGGGTTTCAGAATGTGCTCCGAAACATCATTAAAAGGAAACCAAACCCCAAGTCTGGGAGGCAGCAAAAAGCTTATTTTTCTTTTAAACTGAGAACTTCAAAGACTGGAGTTTCATCTTCTCCATCTCTCTCCTCTGCACACTTCCACACTCACATAACAGGCTCCAAGGAGACCACCCTTCCCATCTAGAGCCTCCACCCTTCCTGGGCATGAAGCAGCCCTCCTTTGGCTTCCTGTGAAGGTGGCTTTTGGAGTCCTTGACACAGAAGCGACCAATCTGAAAAGCCACTACTGCCTGACTGCAGCACATCATCCTGGGGAAAGCTGCAGGGGCATTCCCAGATCTCAGCCCTGCTGTGAGGAGGCACTGTACATTCACATGCTGGGAAGGCTGCTCACCTTGGGAGCGCCCGTCCCAGCTCTGCTCTAAGCCTGTGGCTGTCCATGCTATGTGATCTAGCTGGAATGAGAAATTTATGCTAGGTGCTTCCTTTTCTCACCAGATCAGCCACCTCCTCATGCTCCTCTAGAAGGGCAGGTGAAGGGATTTAGTCTGGTGCCTGCCTGGCTGAAAGTACAAACCCTTTATGCTACCACTCAAGACAGCAGCTTCAACAACATCACCCTTTCTCTTCCTCAGAAGTTGTGCTGCCTCACTAACCAAAAATGAAGGAATTCCCTCTCAGAGCCAAGAAGATGAATTCACAGCAGAGAATGAGAACTCTAACCTCAGAGGCCACTCCAGGTGGATGCTGGCCCCTGCTGCTGGGGAGAACATCTGGGCAGTGGGGGCAGGATCCAAGTGTGATCTGGCTGGTTCAGTGCCACCTCCCCCAAGCCACAGGGACAGGTGGGTGGTGTTTCCACACCACAGGGTTGTCACCCAGACTGACCAGGCAGCCCTGAGAGAGCACAGAAAAGCCCCCTTGCTCAGGGTGCAGAAGGGGACAATAAGCAGAGCCACTCAGCTCAAAGCACTGTACCCCTGTAGCTGCAGCTGGAAGCACAGATGACGAAGGGAGCAGGAAGAAGCCATTTAACAGTAATACTCTGCTCTGCCTGCGATGTGCTGGGAGACGGTCAAGGAGAAGAGTTAGTGCTTTTCAGCACACAGACAGAACAGCTGACGCCAGCTCAGGCTGGAGCCACAACAGCACAACGGTCTGTGCCTGTGGGCACAGCGAGTAGATGCTCTCCGTCTACATGCAGAGCCGTAACAGAAGAAGCAAGCTCACCCACCCATTCTGGCTGGCACGCAACAAGAGTGCGCGTCTCCACCAACACTGACTCATCCTCTCCCCGTCCCTCCTTCCAGTACCATGGTATGGACATCCCCACACCCAGGTGGAAGGACCCTGTGTCCAGCGCGGGGCAGGGGGTGGTGCGGGGAATCAGAAGCACTGTGGCCTACAGTTGCACCAGATCCTGGGCTGGGGTAGGGGAAGGGGGAACACAAGCCAAAAAAATCCCAAGACTCATTTTAAGGAATAAAAAAGTGAGTAGGAAAAAAGCACAGGGACTGAGTTAAAAAACAATTCAGTGCTTCAGGAGCGTTGCCAGCACAGCGCAACAACACTGAGCTCTCTCTTTTCCCAAGAACCTATATTTATAAGATTTTAATATTTTCTGTATATTTCTATTTTTCTTTTCTCTCCCTCTTTTTTGTTTGCTTTGTTCTTGTTTCCCCCCTCCCTCCCTGCCCCAAAATACTCTCCTTCCTTTGTGTTCAGTTGGCCAGGACGACGGGCTGGAACGACTGGCTGGGATACTGCATGGCATTCAGGTTGTAGCTGAGTCCTTCCACAAAGGGAGACTTCTCCAAAAAGAGGCTATTGGTGCTGCCGCCGAAGACCTGAGCCATATCAAAGGTACCACCTGTGCTGGTGTTGAACTGCGATGCTGGCGGGATGCTGCTGGCCTGGCTCTCACTGGCAACACCATCGAAGAAGAGGCTGCTGGCTCCCGGTGACCCGCCGTTGTAAACGAACTCCTTGGCATTGGGGGAAAGCTGTGACTGCGGGGCTTGGCTCCCAGCGCTCCCGACGAAGTTCAGAGAGTGCATAGACAGGGAGAGGCCCTTGTGCTTCAGCAGGTTGGTGGTGGGAGACCTGACCATTCTTGGCTGCTGCACAGCCCCTGCTCCGCCGCCCCCTCCTCCGGCTCCTCCACCTTTCTTCATCTTGGTAGAGCCGAACTTGGTGGCAGCAAAGGTGGCAGTGGTGAAAGTGATGGGCTGCGCAGAGCGAGGGATGAAGGTGGGGCTGGGTGACTGGCCAAAGGAGGGGGATGGAGAGTTTGACAGCGAGTTGTCCTGGCTGCCGATGGGAACAAATACCTGGGCATCGGGGTTGAAGCTGCTCTTGATTTCTTTGTCCAGCTCTGCGGTGCTGCAGCCCTCACTGTCATCCAGGTAGAGGACCTTAACAGTGCCCTTCTCGCCGATCTGGTAGGAAACCTCAAAAGGATCAATCCAGACACTCAGCTCTTCTGGCACGTTGGCACGTACATCCTCCACAGCCAGCCCACTCCGCTTGGCCGCCAGCTCCACCACCGGATCCACCGTCTCCCCTATATGAACACAGCGATAGCCAGATCCTTTCAGAGGCTTCTCTGGGTACCAGTGGCCCTCATATTTCTTCTTCAGCAGGCGTTCTAGCTCCTCACCAAACAGGTCTGCCCGCCTCCGAGGAAGCTTGTTGTACAGGTATGAGATGATGAAGTTAAGAGCAACTTTGATCTCTAGATGCATACTCTCTTCGCAGCAAGCAAGTCAGGGCAGTGTATTAAAAGTGACAAAGTGACAGGAACATAGACGAGATTTGGCTCCAAATAGACCTAAGGAAAGAGAGAAAAGACTGGATGAAGACTAGAGAACACAACAGCTCTCCACCTGTTGAGATAAACAACTGTGAACAAACTGTGAACCTTTTCCATAAACAAAAGCAGAATGAGCACTTTGCACAGCTACTAACATGAAGTAAAGCTCTCTAGGAGAGTCACCACAAATCTACTGGTCCTCAAAACAGAGGGATGCTTGTAGGGAGGAGTCTCCCTGCTCCTCTTTCAGAAGAAATAAGGGCATAACTACTACGCGCACACAGGTACATACATCGCACTCACCTTACTGCCAAGCACTGCTGCTGAAACCCAGCAGGCAACTGTCTGCTCTGGCACAGCTATTTCAGCACATCTAACGCACCTCTCTGTGCCCTGGCACTCAGCTGCTTCCAGCACGGCTCACCTGCACCAGCCTCTCCAGAACACAAGCACAGCACCTGAACAGCCTCGTGACTCACTCAGCAGCCTGTGCAGAGACTTGCTTGTGCTCAGGACGGCAGGGCCAGCCTCTCCTCCGGGAGGCCGGGTGGTTGTGCCAGGTGCCACGTCCTGCTGGCACAAGCAAAGAAGGGACAAGAAGGAGCGAGGGAGAGTGCTGAGGCACCAGCTGCTGGCCTGTGTTTACTATCTCTTTGACCAGCAGGCAGGTATCTTATTAAGTGTACCCAGATAAGACTCTGCCTAACTACAAGCCTAAAATCTCAGTTTAATTCAGCTGGGGGGGAGAGTGGGACAGGAAATGTGTGTGGGGTCACAAAATACACGTGTGCCAACAGCCTGTCTAATACAGTTCACATCGCTTATCCCTGCACAGCAGGAAGATGAGCAGCTCTGCCAGGATCAGGTACCTACTTAATAAAAACTGAAATTGCTTGCCAAAGATTGAAGTAATCCTCCCTCTCTCCCTCCCTCGAGAGGAAGTCTCTGAAAAGGAGAGAACCCAGAAGAGCACAACGCAAAACCACAACACTCAACTCTCCCACTACACGCAGATTTGCAAACAATGTTTGTCTGAGTATAAAAAAAAAACAAACCAGGTACGTCAGCATTACGCTCTGTCACTCATCCAAAGAAGATGAATCCCACAGATATTTTAAGAGGAAGCACATTTCCAGTAGCCTCCACACCTCTCTAGAGGGTAGAAGAATATCCAGTTTTTAATTGGCAGCTTAGTCAGAGGCCACTCTGTCTTCAGCTACCCTCACCTTGCTCAAACAGACGCACCGTGTTCAACTGTCTTCCTAAAATGGGCTTCAGGGATGCTCTCACAAAGCTCTAAAGCCAATGTTTACAACATGTGCTAATTATTTGGGGGTGGGGATGGAGTACAAACATACGTTGTCAGCATTCCCCTGAAAAACTGGGAATCACAGCAGCACAGCCAGGTATCCACCCTGGCCTAGGTCAGAAGAAAGGAAAAAAAAGCCTGACCAGACTTGTTTGCTTGGTCTAGTTTGTCAGACAGAAGGGTTAAATAAATTTTAAAGAAACCCTCAAATATTTTGAGGCTTTATTGCAAAACAAAGGGTGTGAATTCTATACTTTTTCTTTAGCAGTCTGAGTTCACAGAGGCTTGGCTTTAGGATGATGGTAACCAGAAACAGATCCCACACTTCAAGTCCACCAATAAGAAGAACAGTTTTGGAAGGAATCCCCTCTGGGTTTGACTCAGCAACAAGAAAAAACACAAATGAGGGAGTGGGAAACAAGTCTCACCTTTAAAACCTGCTTTAAGGAATTACTGTAATGTAACAAATTGTGGTAGGTCACTAAGACCTGATCAAGTAAAAAGAGATGAACACCAAAGAAATAAGCAAACAGAGTTTTCTGGAAAACAGTGAGCAGAAGCCATTTTCAGAAGGCAAGAGTCTCAGCACAGAGATGGAGCCTTTTCTACAAAAAAGAGTAAAGCAACCCTCTGAAAGAGCACACCTAAACCCTAACAAGAGCTTATGCAGCCCATACTATCTCAAGGGGGAATTACATGGAGCCCTCTCACATCTTTAGCTTTGAGACATTCAAAAGAAAGTACAGCTTGAGATCTCAGAAAATTAAGCAGGGAGAGAACAGCCAGTTTGTAAATCTTTTAATCTCATGATAAATTCTAATCCAGATCCAAGATCTATTAAGAAATCCGAAATTACAGACTAGGAAAGCAGCAATAGCCAAAATTTTTTACCACCCTATTTGCAACACAAATGTTTCAATATACACTGGTGAGCCCAGATCCTCATCAAGCTTCTGCAGAAAGCAGCGAGGAGGTACAATTATAAATCATTATCTCCTTTTTTCTTTTCTTTATGAAGTACTCCCCCTTCTTAAAAGGGGAATACTCTGTACCTTGACTATTATGAAAAGAATAACTTAATTAGCCTAATAACACCAAGAGCTGCCAAGGTAGTGGCATACGACTGATACCTGCTGAAGGCACTAAAAGTCAGTGGCTCTTCAGGTTGTTGACAGGGTAAGATGTGCTCCAGCAGGATCCCCTCAATCTCTTTCTACTGCACTGAAATGTGATAAAATAATAATAAAATAAAATTAAAACAACAACAACAACGAAAACCAGCTGAAGCAGCATGGCTCGGAGATAAAAAACTACTAAAAAACAATTGTCAGAGGTATTCTGAGCAGTCTTCTATAAAGGCTGCTTTCTAAACTAAAGGCTCACTGTACACGGGTAGAACATCGAGGTGCCGGCAGGGAACAAAGAGCTGTTCCTCTGCTCTGCGGAGGGAACGCAGGACCCCCTTCAGACCCCCCGGTTTATCTGCGTGCTGAAGGAGAGCAGCCAAACCATCACTTGCATCAGGGCAGAGCGAGCATGGGAACGACGCCCTCTCCTTCTGGCTATGCCAGCACGGCGGGTGACCTTGCGGGTATCCCTCCGAGCTCCCGAGGGAGCTCCGGCCCCGGGAACGGGCTGGCCGCCACCTCAGGACTCGAGCAGACTGTCCCGGTGGGCCTGCGGCCCCACGGCCGGACACGCCCGTCTGGAATGAGGGCCCTCTTCCCAGCACGCCCCCCCCCCCCCCGCCAGACGAGCTGCCCCGCGGGGACGAGCCCGGCCGGCCCCTCCGTCCCCGGTATCGCGGCCATCCCCGGTGCCCCGGCCGGCCCCGGCTCGCCGGGAGCTATAGTTCCTCACCGCCCCTCCCCGCCCCGCGACCTACTTCTCCCGGACTGCGGCTCCCGGCGCGCTCCGCGCCCGGCCCGGTGCGTCCCTCGGCGGGGCAGGGCACAAAATTTTCCACGGCACATGCGCACTGGGTCCCGCCCGCCCTTCCCGGCGCTGCCCACGGCCGGGAACACGCCCCGCGGCCCGGGACCGCCGGGCAACCGCCCCCTTCTCCCCTTCCCTTCACCTCCCTCCCTCTCGGCAGGGACGGGCGGGCGCGTCCCCACCCCGCAGCTGCGACCCCCCTTCACGGTTGCGGAACGGAGCCTGGGAGGCCACAAGCCCCATGTCCTTCGTTCCCCCCCTCTCTCCTTCCCCGCTGCCTGTCCCCGTCCCCCCGGTGGGGCATGCGGGGTCGCAAACACGGTCCCCAACAGAGCGTTCGGATGGAAGGGGACATGTCCCCAAGGGCAAGCTCCTGGCCCCGCACACCCGGCGGGGCACCGTGGATCGGAGTGTCCGGGGGAATGGGGATGTGTGGTGGGGGGCGGCCCGGCCCAGCCCCGGCAGCGTCTTTGTTGTCGCCGGACTTCTTCCCCCGGAGCTCGCGGGAGCTGCATGCCGCCGTGCGGGAAGGAGGACACCCCGGCGACATCCCCCGGCAGCCCAGGGTGCTGCCGCCGCCCCGGGCCCAGCCTGCTCTTTTCGGGGCCGCTGGGGCTGAGCCGCATCCCCCCCACCCCAAACTGGGGTGAAGGGAACAAAATGGTCAACTGGGGTACTTCCAAGCGTCCCCTACTCAATGACTTTCATCCTCACCCCCCTCCCTTGAAGCCCCATTAATCCCCCCGGGGGCCGCAGCCGCACGGTGACTCCATGGACGGGCAAATCGCCTGCCCCGGGCGGGGAGAGGGGGCGATGAGCCCCCTCAGGCCGAGCCCTCAGAGGGGACGCTGAGAGCCCCGGCCCGAGAAAGGGTGTGGGGGAGGGACGCACCCCTGGCCCCACTTACTTCGTCCTCGGCTCCAGGGCCGGCGACTGCTGGCGGCTGTCGCGGGGGCCGTGGGCGCTGCCGTCGGGTCTCTGCTCTGCCCCGTCCCGTCCGTCTCCTCCCTGCCTTGTCCCCGGCGGCGCGGGGCGGGCCCGGTGCTGCGGTAGTGCTGGCGGTGCGCTGTCCCCGGAGCCGCCCGCGCCCTGGCCCCGAGTGAGCCAACTCACGGCAAACTTTCACCCTTAGCAACCCCTCGGCGCACGGATCTGCTCCCGCCCCGTGTGATGCGGCCGCGGGGGGCGGGCCGGGACTACTTCCCCCTCCCGCCGCCTCCCGCAGCGCCCCGGGACGGGCGGGGGCGCCGGGCTCGCCTGTGCTGCCCCCGGCACCGGGGGTGTCCCGGCTCCGAGCGCGGGGGAAGGAAGGAAGGGGGCGGAAGGCAGCTTAGCGGGGATTGACCTGAGGATTTCCCCAAGCGGCTTAGCCCGAGGCGGAATGGGGGGGGCGGCTGAGCCATCGAACGGAGCGGGGAGGGACGGGACCGTCCGGCGTCTTCCCCGCGCACCACGGGCGCTGTCAGGCCCCGGCTCAGTAGCAGGGCCGGCCCCAGGGTTCCCCAGGGGACAATTCCCCGCACAGCCCCCAGCCCCACGTGCAAAACCCCCCGTGGTGGAGCCCCAGCCCCGCTATAGCGGGAGAGCTCGGGAAGAGGTGCCTACGGGCAACCCCGGCTCCCTCCGTCGCTGCAACTGCCTCGGGACCCCCGGACCGCGACACCGGCGGGGAGCCCGGGGGGCTGCGGGCCCATCTCCGCCGGGGACAACGGGACAAGGCCAAGCCCGGCGCGCCACTGATGTTACCCCCGGAAGGGCAGGGGCGGCAGGGGCAGCACGGCCACCTCCGCGGCCCCGCCCCCCGGCCCAGCGCTCCCCGCCCCCCGGCACACGGACTACTTTGTCGTCGCACGCCCGTGTGCCTCCGCCCCCAGCGGAGGAGGACCGGCCCGGCCGCGGCGGAGACGGGAGACCCGCAAGATGCGCGAGCGCTGGTCGTGCTAAAAATAACTGCGGCGTGGTAGCAACAGCCTCCCCATTGGCTGGCCGGGCCCGGCGGCGCCTCCGGATTGGAGCGCTGCCTCAGCCAGTGAGCCTGGGGGGGTGTGCGCGGGAGGTGGTGCCGGCGCGGCGCGGGGGCCGCCGGGAGATGTAGTGGCCGGGGCGGCCGCGGCCTGTGCTGTCCCGGCTGTCCCCGTCCCGCACTGCGGAGCGTTCTCAGGCTCAGGGTTACGTGGTGCCCTAGGGGAGGACGGCCGTGGCGACGGACAGCCCTGGGGCCAGGGGCCAATGGCGGGCACCTGCACCCCCAGAGGCTGAGCTGTAACCGCCCGCTGGCAGGCTGAAGGCACTCGCTCCCACACACAGCTCCGCACGCTGTATTTTAAACCAGACTCATTACTAGTTCCAGGAAAATGAAGAAAATGCCTAAGGGCACCCCTAGAACGTGTATTTTACAGTCCAAGGTCATACCACCTTGCACACCCACCACTTGAAAAGGGCTCTGGCTGTCCACACGCAAGGCAGCATTTGATCAGAGTAAAACTCCAAACTAGTGGAAGAGACACCAAGAACAGCATTTCCAGGCTCTCCCAGTCGTGTGTCCGGCATCTTCCTCAGTGCTGACACAAGCAGAGAGGGAGGGAGAACCAGTCTTGATGACCCAAGCATTACCATGGTCCCTGTCGCAACAGGGGTTGCTGGCCTGGCAACCATCTCCCAAGTGCAAAAATGCAAAGTATTTCTCTTGTCCCCTTTCCACAATGGGCCTCAGCATCCTTCTGGGTTTGGTTTGTCCTCATTCGCTCAGGAACCCTTTACCTTTGCCTTTACCTCTTTTGAGGCCAGCCAATGCCATGCATTAAGAAATCTGTTAAAGCTCCTTCCCAGCTACAGCATTACAGCAGCCAGCTTTACTCATTTTCCCACTGATTAAAGGAAAAAACCCAACAACTTTTAAGTGGTTTTGTTTTTTCTGCAGGGGAAGGGAGAAGGGAAGGGGAAGATTTATGAGAGCTATTATGAACAGTCTTATTTTTCATCACTCTTACTTTAGAAGGAATTTAGTTACAAAAGAACACATCTTTTTTTTTTCTATTATTCCCTTGCTTTGCTGAAAACAAAATCATGCTGTCAGCCAGAGACCAGGAAATCAAAATGACTGAGCTATTTTTAGCATCATTAAGCAAAAAAAAAAAAAGGCACTTACATTTCTAAAATTCTATTACTGTTTTAATAATGTGTTATTAAGAGGGTGTCACACATTAGAGCTCTTTAAAATACCTGTGCCTTGACCATGCTCCTTTAATTATGGTGTCGCCCTGGTACACATGCAGGCAGAGGAATTCTGTCACAGTATCTGCTCCTGCATTCCCAGCCATTTGGCTATTACGTCAAAGCAAAGCTACAGCATCACATGCGCACGGGGAAGGGAGGAATTGCCAAGCTGCCAGACAGAGCCCGTTTGGCTGGGTTATTTAATGTCAAGGAAGGGCAGTCAGGTTATAATCAGGTGTAATTAACACTGCCGTACCCTGAATCCTCTGTACATTCAATTCACATGACAGCCTCAAGGAAATGAAAAATTCTTTCCTGCTATTGGAAAAGGCGAACATCTCCAGCTGATGCCCATAATGAGAAAATAACAGCTCCTGTGCAGACAAGGTTTCAGAAGTGAGATTTTGTCCACACAGCTTCTACAGGGAAAGCTCACAGGCAGACTTCAGGCCTTCACCTACCTTTTTCTTAGTTTGGTTTGGTTTTTTTAAAGAAAAGTAATGCTTGGGGCTCAAGGGCTTTGTCAAGACAAGGTCTAGGTGATTCAAAGGATTGGAAGTGTGTTATGGAGCTATTTGCTGAGCTCAGCAGTAGCTGTGGCTGGCAGTTGGTCTGAAGGGGTGTGTAACAGGGAACACCTGCATTTCAGAATGCACTTGTTAGTACTGGCAACAGAGGCCAATTACCTAATAGGCCAAGAGGTCCCATGTTCTCTCCTTCAATGTAAATATTTGAAATGAAGGGATTTTTTTTTTTACTTGTTACACAACATCCTTTTGATTGAAAAAAGAATAACCCTACCCAGAAAAGTAACAGCAAGAAGACACATTTAGCTCCATTAGGATTTGCAGGCAGCAGCACCACGAGAGTTCAGCTGCCACATTGACGAAGTGGTCCCTCTTCCTCCTACCCTTCCCTGCAGTTGCCATGCAAGTGCTTCACAACTGGCAGCCAGGGAGCCCCTGAATCTGGCAGCTTAAGACTCCATGGTCTGATGAAGTCCTTCCAGAGCTTGGCCTGCACACAGCAGGATGTGTCTTGTCTCATATCCCCCCTGAGGGGAAGCTCGCCCTTTTAGCATGTGCTCTGGTTATTATTATTATTGGTCTCCAGTACTGCAAGGCAATCTCTTTCTCCTGGACGAGTACTTTAAAATCTATTTAGGTAAAAAAATATCGCACTTTTCTAGGTGCCCTGCCTGGGTATCATTTAGTGGTGAACATAAAGCATTAGCAAGCAAGCAAGGCTGTTTTTCAGGGCTACTGAAATATATCCATTACCATTGTCTGAATTAGCAGCTTCAGGGCAAGGTCCCATCCATGCTCTGAAAGTACCAGAAAAGCAACGGCGCTGAACTGATCTGAGCACCAGCAGCACTTGGCATTCTCCCCAGAGCTGTCTGAGCAAACAAGGCAAAGGGGAAAAAGCCTGTCCCTCCCTCTCTCCACCTGCCCAGTGACTCAGAACAACTAGAAATGGCAGCTTAACTCTCAGAACGCAGACCGATATATCCAGCAGTCAGCGTGAGGGCATCGGGAGTGCCAAGAAAGTAAGTATGCTTAGCCGGTTTTGGGGATGGGGGAAGGGATGGGGAAACTCGTATCTCTATAGCAACCCCTGCCTGGCTGATCCTGCTAAATGATTAGGAACAGGGACTGCTCTAAGCTCTTCTAGGGGTCCCTGCACCAGGGGACAATACTTCTGAGACAAAAAAATAATTCCTAACTTCATTTCTCTCTACCTTCACCAAAAAACTTTCGTCATCTGAAACTTCCAGGGAAGAAAAAAACAAGTACAAACCCGCATTCCTAGTGTGATAATTTGGGTGGCCTGACTGAGGGCAAGTGATAAATTCTGGTTGAAGTGATAAAGTTCCAGGTACAAAAAATCTGCATGTCATGCCCTGCTTTTAAAGAAATACAGAATTTAACATGGCTGATAATGGCTCTGACATGGACTTCCCAGTCTGGAGCAAGAGGCAGTTGCTTATTCAGGTAGAACTACTTTGAGAGAGTGGGTTTGCTGTAACCAAAGAGCCATATTGCTCTGAATCTCTTGGCAAATGGCATCCACATTAGTAAAAAATTAACAAGAAGCTGTGTAGGGGAACCATGGTGCAGGGAAGAAGACATACAGATACTCTCAGGATTGCAAAAAGCTTGGAAGAGAAACCTGACAGAATTAATAGCTGGGGGCAGGAGAGGGAGGAGTGGCTGAGATAGCTGCAGGGCCAGTCACAGCTAAAGCTGGCTGCAGCAGGGAAAAATGACTTTTAAGGGAAGGATGATCACAACTTATCTGCTTGTTTTCACTCTTACGCGAAAAACCTAAATCGTCAGAGCAGGAGAAGAGGCATTTAAGCCAGAGCAGAGTTAAAGGAATTGCTACTAGCCTCAGGGGAACAGCTGAAATCCTGGAAGAGGCACAGAACAAGCTCTGTACCCCAAGACCATGCAAAGACAACCCCGTTACTGTAGCACACACTCTGCTCAGACTAGGAGGACTTCAAAGACTACAGGGCACACTGAGCTATGACCCTAATTTAACCATCTGAGGAGTGTACGCACCCATAGGGAGCTCAGTTCCGCTTCTGCACAAAGGCGCCCATTTCCAGATCTCTGCTGAACCAACAGACTGCTTTTAGCCTGTATTGGTATTTGACAAACAAGCAGCCTCTGGTTTCCAGCACGCACACGGCCAATAGCCCAGAACACAATAGTTGGTTTCCCATTACAGCAGGGAAGGCTTTAACTTATTCATAAGAACAGGATAGTGAGTCAAATAGCTTAGTAGGTTTTAGAAAGGATTGGATGTTTGCATGGTGAAACAACATCCACAGCCGTATTAGCTAGGATAAGGGTTACAAGCTCAGCGATCCTCACGCTACGGGACAAAATGATCATTGGCTGGGATCACAGGCAGACAAAAGCGATAGTCGTTCCCTGAAGCTCCTTGCAGCAAGGTCACGTGGCCATAAGCAGACACTGTCAGAAACCAGATAACCCATTGTGCAGGGCTAGCTGGGCTAATCCTGCATGTCCCCAGAAAGCTCCAGAGAGGCTAGGCACAGAATTAACCAGAGAGAAATCCTTGTTGTACAAAAAATAAAAACCCAAATGAAAAGCTTTATTGGTATGCATCCTACAGAAATGGTTACAAGAAGGGGCCTTGGATTAATCTGACAAAGAAAACATGGAACAGCTGTGATCTCTCTAGGAAGGCACCAGCCACGAGCAGGTTCCTTACAAAACAGAGTAGCATGGAAATATACTGAAGGAATGGAGGAGGGGAGCAGACACATGGAATTGGTGCTCTGTTCTTCAACATTGATGCATGGGGCAATTTCAAATAGCCCAGTAAGAAAAAACCGCAAGGTCTTTCTCCACACCTGAAACGACACTTGCTTTTTACTGAGCTAGTCTCCTCCATGTGTAAGTGCTTGCCCACCAGGCTTTGTGTATAGAAAGCTGAGGCAACTACTTGCAGAGCTTCTGCAAAGGCAAGAGACAGTAATCCTCATCTGCTCTCGCTTATCGTTGGTTCTGATCAGGTTTCAGTCGTCATTCAGTCTGTTACTTCTCCAGCCCCAAGTATATTACTGAATCTGTACTGCTTTAGAAAAACATAATCAACCGGTTTCCAATACCAGTAAAGTCCAGCGATGTTCCAAGACCCTCTTGCCAACCTGGCAGGAGGTATAGCCATGTACAGATAGGATCACCTCTTCTTGAAGCCATATTTTTTCCTTTCATAGAAAAGATCTGTCTTGGAACTGCCCAGGTTGACGATCTTAGGGCAACCATCTCTCTGTAAGAAGAGAAGATGTAGGTTAGGAGATGGGCAAACACAGAACAATGTCATCACTCGCATAGTTCTAGTAGGTTCTCAGTTCCAATGCTCCTCGCCCTGTCCTCAACACATATTTCGAACACCTGGGCAGACAAACTGCCCTCCAGTGCTGGTTACCAGTAAGACAGTGGAACAGAGAAGAGTATGGATGCCTTTTCAGGATTACTCTAGGACATTCTCTTCCTCAGGGCTGAGACAGAAAACAGCTCATATATCATCAGCAGTTTAACGAAAAGGATGCTCAGTGCCTCAAGACTGAATTCTTTATAAATCAGGATACACAGGATTTATAGGGCCCAGAGGAATAACCTTTCCTCTCCTTAGTCAAAAAGAATCTTGCTGCTTTAGATGTCACCAAGCCATTCTTGTGTATAGGAGCCCCTCTCAGCTATGACAGCAGAACTGAATCTCAGATTTCCTGGATCAATTACTGCAGAGGCTGTATGGTCATCTTGGAAGAGGACAGCTGCCCACAGCAGCTACACAGATAAGTGTTTGTACCTGAATTCCAGTAGATTGTGAGAAAAAAAGCCACAAGAAAAGCAAGGGGAGTGGGGGAGACCCATCTCAGAGGTGTGGTTGAAAAAACAAATCAGAGATGCACCTCTTGGTGTACTAGGGACCATTTGTCCATGGGCCACCTGAGCCCAGCATCTGCATAATTCTTAAAAGCAAAACGTTGTGCTGGACACAGCAGCTGTGAGGGGCCCAGCAGGTAGAGGAACATGTATCCTTGGCTGATGTGTAAGCCTGAGTGCATTAGATTTAGAAAGCCTCTGCTGTAGAATCTGCACCCAAGCTCCTGTACCAGAGATGTAATCTGCTGGGGAGGGTCTGCATGGTAGAAATAACAGCAGAGGTGAGGAATAGAAATCATCCTTCCCCCATACACCTGCCACAACCCATTTCTAGCTAGTCTCCTTATTTGATTTTGAACCTCAATAGTAGGACTCTTCCAAGCCTTGTCTCCCACGATCCGGGGAGTCTGTGACAATCTTGACAGCATTATTGCGGGGCTCTGTTCATTCTTCCACCTCCTCCTAAGGAGGCAGCACATGAGCATGCTCCTGTCCCCAAGATTACTTTTTGCAACTCACAGGTGTACTGGATGACAAGGTGGGATTCTGGCCCTTACCCGCAGACCAAAGCGGGTTTTCACTCCTCCCTCCACCATAACCAATGAATCGAGAGTAACCAGGCCCTTTGCCTGGTGCCCAGTAGCACTCCACCTCCTCCCTTCATTTTAGTATTTGCCTTCTTGCTTCACTATCTTTTTCAGTCTTTCCCTGAGAATGATGGAAGTGCTGTGGCTGAAACCTTGGACTGTAAAAGCTTCAGGTAGAGAGCTCTTTCCCTGTTTTTCTTATTCACATCAGCACCAGATACCATAATTGTGACAGGCAGCAGCACACTTAATTTTTCCCCTTCTGGCACCCTACACTTGTGCCAGAATTTTTCAATCCTGCAACTCAATCATGCTCGTTTCAGATCTGCAGCAATACCTAACATTTGAGTTTGCTGCTACAGATCAACTGTCTTCACTCACAGCAACCTTCACCCAGGCGTCAAAATACCCCAGACCTGTAATTCTCCTCTAGCTGTTTTCCACAGTCCTCCCTTGCAGAGTAGCTGGCTATTTCACCCCTGAACCAGACATAATAAGCTACAGGTGAGCTTAGGTTATGAAAAACACCTGTTGGAAATCCATATGAATTGATAAAAATAAAACCAAGCCTATTTTAGTCATGACTTATGAAGCCAGGTGTCTGTTACAAAGGCAAGTGAAGAAAACTACTGGTTCTCACTGCATTTCTAAAGTAGGAGGCAGCACCACCATCCCAGCACTTACATCCATATTTAGGTATGGAAAAAGATTATGGTCCTGTTAGATCTAATGACTAAATTCAAATGAAGACCTGCCCCTGTCCTGGATTTAGCTGAAGGCCTCTAGAGAATACATAGGCACTGCAGAGAATTAAACCAGCAACTCAGTCAGCTGAGGACACTCCTGTAAATCAAACTGAACCATTCTCTCAGCACATCTGTCATTAGGGTGTGTATGAAATGACATTTGCAAAGCACCAAAACCCAAACAACCTTTACCAGACACTTTAACAGCTATCAGGCCCATATGTTGGGAATATTGGAACTGCAAATGTCATGTTCTTGCTCTTCCCTGAGGTCTTTCTAACACTTCATTGCAGTTCTTCATGTCCTGCACTCCTTGTGTTGAATTATTAACAAAAGCCTTACAAGAGGTGAACAGCTGCCTCATTTCACATGTGCAGTGCCTATCTTTCAGCACAAGATTATAAAAAGATTATAGCAATGACTATAGACAAAAGGGACCATTACACCAAAAAGTGTTAGCAGAGAGATGTCTACAGTATAGACCATTCCAAAAAAGAATAAGAAAATATAAATTGTATGCCATTGAAATTATATAAGAGGCATTAAATTTGTAAAACACAATTACTAGTGCAGTCACTGGACACTTAAGACTAACTTCATGTTGCTATCCAAAGGAAAATGAAGGTTTTGATTCCAGTACCATATGTCCTCTTCATCAGTGGCTGATAATGGACTTGCAGTGAGAAGCTGCTTTTGCCACTGCCTGTGCAGTGTCTGGAATATTTCTGACCCTAGTGAAACCTAGGCTGGAGATGTAAGGTAACAACCTGAAGTGGTAACAAGCAGTGTGTGGAGGAAACAACTGTGAGTGTGCAAAATAATCAGAGATCCTTAGGGACAAAAAGAGTTATGATACCTCAAAATGCTACGTCTCAAAATGCTTTGCAAACATGGGGAACTATCAACATAGGAAGAAAGGTATGAGGTACCACAAATCGGTGCTAAGCATCCCATGTCCCAGTGCTAATTTCAGCAGCTCTAAGCCCCTTAAAGGTAAGCATGGCTATTAAGTAAAATTGTGACGACGACGACGTACATCTTTTTCCTGGATGGTGCACTCCTTGCAGTAGTAGGCATCGGACACTCCCGGGCCCCCGCAGATCACACAGCGCCCTTGGTACGAGCCGTAGTTACACTCATCACAGATGCGTACCAGGGTGCAGGGCCGCACGTAGGAGTCACATATCACACACTTGCCATCACCTGCAAGCACAGCAGAGCCTTTGGTTACAGAAGGCCTTTCCTCCATCCCCACATCAAAGAGAAAAAGCTTCCTAGTGAAAGAACTTGCCTGTACACTCAAAGACAATACAAATGAACTGCAGAAATTTATCTTGCACGGGGCACAACCTTGTATTTGCACTAAGACTTGAGAGGAACAAGGGCCAGTAGCCTGCAGCATTTGAGGCTTTTTTAATTTATTCATACATTCACAATCAGAGAAGAAACCCAAAGTTACTTCTTTGTGATTAGCCAACACTTGCTTAGATCGTGCTACTACTTTTCCAGAACTTTTCACTTGCAAAAAAAATGCTGTACTGGCAGGACTACTATCCTTATGAACACAGAAGCAGCAGTGTAAGCTACTCCCACAGTGCCACATCAACAAAAGTATGGAGTTATTGTCCTCAAAGAGATAAGAGACTGTACTCATGGTCCCTTTAATCCTTCATCCATGAGAAGGCCAAAGAAAGGGCAAACTGGCATAAACAGCCATTTCACAAAGTTGCTCTTGCTCTCTCACAAGGAACTGGGTGAAATTCAAGTACTCAGATCATACAGGCAAGGAGCCATCACATGCCACTGCCAGTTTCTGCTGTGCTGGGGCTTATCCAAAACACTGACCTATGGATGAAAGGCTTCATATCCTATTACCAGTTCCCAAGGTATCTAATCCTGACTCCCGCAAACAGCTCACCTAACCTGCTCTTAAATCTCCAGCGTGACAGCTCTCAGCTATTACCAATGGGAATCTGTTTCACTGCCAGGTACTCTTGAAAATGATCTTTTGCTTTAGACCGTCCTTCTCCCACTTTACTTATTTTCATACTATTTTTGAGTCACAAGCTACTGACCTTATTTCTTTTGTTCCCCTACAAGGATCTAACGACAGATCTTTCTTCCCTTTTACAGCTGAACACGGGCATTTGATTCTGTGGGTTTTTTTTTTCCTGCTCTAACTCTAGGAGTTCTTTCTCCATTTTTTCTTCTATAGACAGAAGGAAGAACCTTTCTTGAGGTATGATGAAGCCATTTTTCCCCCATGCTTTGAAATGATTAGGCTGATATTTTTGCATTACAGATTACAAGGACCCATTCAAATAGTCACCACAGCCTCAGCCACTGGAAATGCTGGCAGTATATACCCTAGAACTGCATTTGTGTTTTGAGCTCATAACTTTTTAAGTATTCCTTGAGTTTCACTTGCAACATGTAGGCATTGTTCCCACCTCAAAGAATGACATCAAGTTCGTGATTAAAGCAAAAACAGAATCCAACCTCTGAATTCAAACTGCATATTCTAACCACAACACCATGCTCTCAAGCAACTATATGTTGAAGCTATACTTACATTTTTCGCAAAGTCTTCCAATTGCTGTCAAAAAAAAAAAGAAAAAGAAGAAAAAATTATTTGAGGCAGAGGCAGGAGAAAAATCCAAGTAACTCCAAAGCTTGAATGTGAAATAATTATCTTCTGCAGTGATCAGGTAAACCACAGAAACAGTTTGAGCATAAATACAAACATATTTATAATAAGCAATATATATCCTCCTAGAGACATTTACCAAGATCAAAGTTTCAATGCACTGTTATGGCTAGCCTCTCTGGAGTACCAGTTCTGGTTGCATTCCTCCCATTATGGGGTTCAATTTCCGAAGGCTTCAGGTGGATAGGGAAGGGGTTACTCCAGCTCCAGGGGTTTCTTCGGGTCCTGGACGCATGGAGGGGTTAGGTGCTCCCCCTCCCCCCACCACGTGGTCCCATGGCAGCCAGAGAGACAGCACACGGGACTTGGAGAGGAGGCGAGAGAGAGTTTTATTGTTGGGGTGGTTACATATATAGGTCCTAGGAGGATTCACAGAGTGACCAATTACAGGGTCAGGGGGCTTACAGGACACCCAATCGCAGGAAGGGGTTAACAACCAATAGGAAAGGGTTAACAGGGTCCAATGAGAAGACTTCTTGATATCTTCTCAGGACATTCCTGCATGGGAGATAACAGTTGCCGTGGGGGGTACTGGGAAGAAGAAAGCACGAGCCAACAAAGGGACTACGAAAAGCCATTTTGGAAACATGTTTAAACCACAGTTTTCTCATATAATGCAGATTTGCTGCTACACACTGTGAACACACAATGACACCCATTGGCAGTACAAAAACCTACATTCACTATTCCATTTCAAACACAGCCAATGTGCCTGACTGAAGGAAATCCTGTACAGCAGTCTTGGCGTAGCTTTTACACTGGTTTAAATGGGAGGAAAAAAAATAGAATCAAGTGTTTACTTAAGGCAGCCAAAATAGCCTTCTTCACTTCAGAACCTGAAAGTAGTTAAATGTATCTTAGAAGTCTTGTCACTTGTCTAGGAAACTCACAGCCATGGTGTTAGGAGCTTGGATAAATGCCACAAATATCAAGTTCCAAAGACCAGATGTCCACGTTCACAAAGACTAAACAGTGATTCAGTTGAGGTCTGACAGACAAGGGATTTGTCAGATTAATTTTCAACATAGACAGATTAGGTTAGAAGGACCGCGTGTTCTAAAAGAAAGTTTCCTCTGGACAGTGCAGCCGAATATTTTGTGTTTACAAATATCGCAAAAAGCTGCTTCTTAAATGTGCTTTTCCAAGGAGCGACAAAAAACCTGGAAGGGATGCCCCAACTTCTAACATTGTTTAAGAGTTCTTTAAGACTCAACTGGGCAGCGAAATAAAAGGAAAATAAAAGACAGAAGGAGGAAAGGAGCCCCCTCTCCCCTCCCCCATCGCTCAGGCCTAACAGCCACGCGCGCACCCAACGGCCGCTGACGGGCCCCACACACGCGCGCGCGCGCGCCTCCTACTAGCCCCTCTGCGGGAAAAGGCGCCAGGGGACCCCTCCATGCCGTGCCCATTCCCTGTGACTCACCGACGCCTGCCTGCTTGCGGCAGAAGATGAGGTCCGGGTGGTGCTTGGCCATGGCGAGGCGACACCACCTCGACGCTGCTGCGACTGCGGCTACGGCCCCGCCAAGCGCTCACCGCCGCACCACCCCCGGGTCCTGGCCGGGGTGAGTCCTGCGTCTGAGAAAGCGCCGCCGCTGAGCTGAAAAACGCGGCAGGGTTGCCGAGATAAACAATTCCCCAGGGAGCTGCTCCGCCGCCCGACTCTCCCCGCCCAGGGAAGCCCCGCATTACAGCCCCGGACCCCCTCCTTGTGGCGAGTGTGCCCCTGCCAGGACCCTTGCGATCCCGCCCCCGCGCGCGCGCCGGAGATGTAAAAGGAGCCGCGTGACGCCATCGCGGCGCGACTTCATCTTTGTCAGTGAACAAAATGGCGCCGTACTGCGTGCTGGCGGCTCGGCTCAGGGTGAGCGGCGGCGCCGGGCGGGAAGGGCACCTGGCGGGGCGGGCGGCGGGTGCCGCGGCAGGGACAAGGGCACTGCACGCTGGGTGGCCGGGAGTGCGGCCACCCGCAGCCTCCGGCTGTGCTGGGCCGTCCCCGTCTCCGCGTGTAGGTCAGCGTGTCCCCTGCGCGGCCCCGCGCCCCGTTTCCATGGCGATGGCGGGGAGGCTGCGGTGGCGGCGGCGCGGCCGCTGCCCGGACCCTGGGGCAGGGCGTCTCCCGTCGCTGGGCCTGGCCGTCTGTCAAGGTGAGCGCAAGGTGACCGGAGCGACGGGGACGCGGCCTTGGCGCCGCCGCCGCCTCCTCGCTCGCACAGACCCCGCGGCGCTGGGCCGGGACCGCGGTCAGAGCCTCGGGCCCAGCGGGGCGGAGAACCCGTGGGCGCAGGGCCTAGCGGTGAAATAAAAAGCCTTTTCCCGGGGCATGCATTTTTCTTTCTTCATCTTCACTTGCTTCCCCTTATCAGTGTGGGGCAGCACAAGGTGACTTCTTGTTCGAGTGAGCTATCTTTTGGCTACTTGGCTTCAAAAATACTATTTTTAATACAAACAGAGGCTTCTGGGTGACAAGAGACCAGGGTTTCTATATCAGTGGGACCTAGGAAGGCCGGAAAAGCAGATGGGCTGGGCACATAAACTGCTCTTATTTTCCAGGGTGGTAATAATGTGTCTCATAGGTCTTCTCTGTCATGACCTCTAAAACTCACATTTGCCTGTAATATGAACTTGCCACAGAGATTCCCTTCCTTGAGAGATTGCTGTGTTTAATGTGTAGTCAATAATAAAGTTTTCATAATATTTTAAAGCCTGGAAGGCAAATATCATGTGCAGTAGTTTTTTTTAGGGCTGCTAACAGGGATATGATTGCCCCCCTTAGTGTAGAGCATGTGATAAGGGCAGGCAGTGTAACTTCTCAGTTTGCCACTTGTGACCTTGGCCAGTGTGTTCCCTTTTCTTAGGGAGCCAAAGTAAGAGCTTGTTTGGCTTTTAGTATTCTGAAAGTACTTTGTGAATCTTAATTCTGTTTTTTTATTGCTTCCTTACTTTAGAGGTAGGTGTTTTAGGAAAGTATAGCTTTTTTTTTTAATTTAAGAAAAAGTCACAGAATAGCACCATTTTAAATATAACTTGGTATATTTGTTCTTAATTGTTAAATAGCTTCTAATTTGTACCTTGAACAGAAATGACTAGTCATAAAATGAAGGCAAGTCTTTTATTAGGGTAATGAATTGGTTCTCATTTTGTGGTGTGACACTGCATGAGAACGAGCAGTCATTTGCTAAAAATAATGTGGTATAATGTAAAACAAAGGCTGTGCTGGCACAGTCAGGATGAGGAATTTAGTATTCTGGGAGATTGTCTTCTCTTACCAGGCTCAGGGTGCATGTTTTCTTCCCCCCTGGTGAAGGACTAAATCTGTGATGGTAATTGGACATGCTTCTAGGTGATCTCTTTAGGAGGCAATTTTTTTTTTTGCCCCTGTGTAGCTGCCTAGAAGTTAATGAATCACTGTGATAGTGCCAGCATTGACCATGGCACATGTTATGAACATTGGTTCTACCCACCTCCTGTCCTGAAACTGTTTTGGAAATGGAGCTGCATAGAAAGCTTCCCTCTGAGGGAAATAAATTGGAATTAGCCCGATTTGGTGTGAATGTCCTATTTAAAGTATAGTTCTAATAGCCTGAAAGGGTCAAGATCTTTCTCCTGCCTGAGGTAATGCTTTTAGTAGCATTCCATTTTTCGAGCCACGTTGGCTGAGGATTGACTAAAGAGAGGAGTGTAAAACTCTAAATTGCCTGAAATATCAGTGGTTTATTGAATGCATCATAGGTAAGTACTGAAATTATGTACGAGTAGCTTTGTGTATGCTGGCAAAAATCAGCGTTGGCCTGGGCTAAACTGGTCTTCAGAACCATAATTTTGGTTGTTCTTTGGAGGTGGGTCTAGAAAATTAGACTGCATTTACAATTTGATTATACCACTCTGCTTTTCTTTTTAGGCTGAATCATGGTGAATGTTGGAATCTTGGCCAGAGTTCGCAGATCAGGGAGGATGAGAAAAAATGATATTTTGGGTTTCAGCTGGGATTTCTAGGACCAGTTTCCCAGATAGGAGTGTACGTAATGTGGTTGCTACTCTTTTGAACATGAGCTTTTGCTTACTGGACTTGTCTACCTTATTGGCTGCAAAAGTGCAAGTTAGTTTCTGAATTCAGACTCCTTTTGCATCTGGACCATTCACTGTATTGAGCTACATGTGAGATAGCTAGATTAAAATCTGTAAAGAGAAATGTTGGCTTCCTGAAAGAGACTTCAAAAATAACGACCCATTTCATAGGGCTTTCTTGTGTCTTTTAAGGAAGCTTTTCACCTGGTAAAATACCAGTAGACTTAGGAGCCCTGTAATGATTACTGCCATTTCTTTTACTGAAATCTGAACACAGACATTCATGCTGGGATAATGGATTCAATGCCAGGTAAGAGGCGATCACTTGGCAGCTGTTTGGTCAGCCTGGAAATTCCTGGATAAAAGGGAAAATGTATAGATTACTGGCTACCTACTTCTCTTGGCTGTTGGTTGCAAGGTGCTTCTCACTACTCAGTAAAAAAGCACCATGGAAGCCCCCCAATGCATTACTACATTGCCTCTCACTCTGGGGAGAGGGAGGGGGAATGAAGCTGGGAACTGTTAGGCTTGTGACTTTTCCCTTATCTTGCAGTTCTGCCAAGATTAAGTTCTGCCAAGTTCTGTTTCTGAGGATGCAATGGATAAAAAACCAGGCAGGGAGAATAGACAAGTGTGATGAGTGATACATTGTGGATTCTTTCTGAGGAGAGATCAGACTTTTGAACCAGGCAGTGTATGCTGTTACTTGGTGGTGGTGGTGGAGCCTCAGGCTTACTGGGTGTCAACATGAGAACAACCATATTGAATCAAATTAACTCCCAACAGAGTAGAGATATGGGATTAGATTTACATCCCAGTAAAATGAAGATAACACTTTTTTAATAGGTGCCTTTTAAAAGTCTTGTGTAGACAAAAGTGATTCTGTAGTCTCCTGAAACTGATTGACCTAGGTGATGATTTTCCCCCAGT